TTATCTCATAAAAAGTTTTGCCAGCCTGTGAAAAACAGTTGCCCTCCTACTGAAAACGTTAATGAAACCCCAATAGGTATACATGTATTGATGCCATTTATTGTTGGATTCTCTGCAGCTACAAGAGGATACTGGTGATAATATCACATTCACAGGACTTTCTCAATGGGGTGTGCACTAACATTATCCATATGCATAAAGGAAAACTTGTGTATTATGGGGTAAGAGTGATCTCACATTTTAGCTTATAACAGCACTTCCATTAGGGTGTGTGGGGGACAGAAAGGTACAATCATACGAAAACTACACAATCCTGCACAATTCCTAGAAATCTGTGCAGTCCCACACAATACTCATATCTTTTTTCTCTTATTATTAATTCTACAAAATGACATTTTTCTGTTTGTATCATCTATCGCTAGATTTTTTTTTTTGTTCACTTACCAGGCCATTTCCACTATGAAAATAACTTATCACTTTTGTCAAACATCTTAATCAAACATCTTCATCAACAGAGCTTTCTCCTATGATAGCCTTGTACTGTCAAGGGCACAAACTTGATTTAATTCAAGCTCCTTGTCAGAAGCCAGATTGATTACATTTTATTTAAAACAGTTTTGTGTGTTGCTTAAATTTCTTTTGACCACTTACATGTGCAGATATTGTGGCAAAAGAGGTAAGGGTTGTATTGCTATGTTGTACATAGGGCGGCTATAAATAGCTGTTTGATATCCTGTGTGTGATCTCCATTGCTAATCAAACTTACTATGAATGCATGAACAAAGCTGGTAAAGGCAGCTTGAGACAAGATTTTTATCCAAGTTTACATTTTTTTCTATTCTTTCCAAAGGGTAACTATGACTCTTATATTAAAACAAGAGCAGAACTGGAGGAGAACCAAATGAAACAGTATGGCAGGGAACAAGATCAAATAAAACACATGAAGGTGCAGCATGAGTGAGAAGTCACTTGTAGAAATACACCAGCAACATTGATCTGTTTGTACTCACATAGTGTCTGGCTATAGAGGGATGATGACCTAAAAGGCCGAGTTTTAACAGCTCTCAGTTCCACTGGGAAGCTGTGATGGACACAA